TGGTTGTCATGGGGTTCATATATGTTGACCTGTAACTATATCTACTTGTTTTAAACTGATAGTCATTTATGTTCAGACACATTTTAAAAGATCTACATTTTTTTAAACATTTTTATTGGCATATAATTGCTTTACAGTATTGTGTGAGTTTCTGCTGTATAACAAAGTGAACCAGCTATATGTATACATATATCCCCATATCCCCTCCCTCTTGCATCTCCCTCCCACCCTCCCTATCCCACCCCTCTAGGTGGTCACAAAGCACCAAGCTGATCTCCCTGTGCTATGCAACTGCTTCCCACTAGCTATCTATTTTACGTTTGGTAGTGTATATATGTCAGTGTTACTCTCTCACTTCATCCCAGCTTAGCCTTCCCCCTCCCCATATCCTCAAGTCCATTCTGTTCATCTGCATCTTTATTCCTGCCCCTAGGTTCATCAGACCTTTTTTTTTTTTTTTAGATTCCATATATATGTGTTAGCATATGGTGTTTGTTTTACTCTTTCTGACTTACTTCACTCTGTATGACAAACTCTAGGTCCAGCCACCTCAGTACAAATAGTTCAATTTCGTTTCTTTTTATGGCTAATATTCCATTGTATATATGTGCCACATCATCTTTCTCCATTCATAAAAGATATACATTTTTTTACACCCCTCCCGAAACTTTTGTGTTTTTAATGTCATATTTTACATCTTCATGTTTATCCCTTAACTGTTTATTGTAGTTATAGTTGCTTTTACAATTTTTTGTCTTTTAATATTTGTACTGGCTTATTTAAGTGGTAGATCCTTAGTCCTTAGTATATATTTGCCTTTCCTTTTTGGATTTTCCATTTCCTATAGATTCTTACTTTTTTCCATTTAGAGAAGACCCTTTAACATTTCCTTTATGGTAGGTTTAGTATTGATGAACTCTTTTAGTTTTTGCTTTTCCAAGAAGTTTTTACCTCTCCTTGGATTCTAAATGACAGTCTTGCTGGGTAGTATCCTAGGTTGCAGGTTTTTCCCTTTCTGCACTTTGAATATATCATGCCACTCCCTTCTGACCTGCAAAATTTCCACAGAAAAATCAGCTGATAGCCTTATGGGGGTTCCCTTGTATATGGCTCTGTTTTTATCTTGCTGCCTTTAAAATTCTCTTTATCTTTAAGCTTTACCATTTTAATTATGATATGTCTGTCTGGGTTTATACTGTTTGGGACCCTCTGTGCTTCCTGTACCTGGACATTTGTTTCCTTTTTCACTGGTTTGGGAAGTCTTTAGCCATAATTTTCTCAAATACATTTTCAATCCCCTTCTCTCTCTCTTCTCCTTCTGAGACCCCTATAAGTTGAATATTGGTACATTTAATGTTATGCCAGAGATCTCATAAAGTGTTCTCATTTTTTAAAATTTGTTTTTCTTTTTGCTTTTCTGATTGGGTGGTTTCCATTACTCTATTTTCGAGATCACTTATGTGTTCTTCTGTGTCACTTAGTCTGCTATTCATTCCTTCTACTGTGTTTTTTATTTCAGTTACTGAATTCATTATTTCTTTCTTTTTTTTTTTTTTTTTTTTTTGGTTCGCGGGCCTCTCACTGTAGTGTTGTGACCCCTCCCGTTGCGGGGCCCACGCGCAGGCTCAGCGGCCATGGCTCATGGGCCCAGCTGCTCCGCGGCACGTGGGATCTTCCCGGACCGGGGCACGAACCCGTGTCCCCTGCATCAGCAGGTGGACTCTCAACCACTGCGCCACCAGGGAAGCCCCGAATTCATTATTTCTGATTGGGGTTTTTAACATATTTTCTTGTTCCTTGTTAACATTCTCACTGTGTTCATCTATTCTTTTCCCTAATTCAATTAACATTCTTACTAGCAATGCTTTGAATTCTTTATCTGGTAAGTTATTTATTTCTGTTTAATTATGTATTTTCAGTGGTTTTCTCTTGCTGTTTCAGCTGAGAGTAGCTCCTCTGCCTCATTATTTTGCTTAACTTTCTTTGCCTCTATGGATTTAAATGAAGCAGTTATCTATTCCAGTCTGGAAGGGGTGTTCGTATTATAGACTGTATGTGCCTAATGCCTTTGGTGGGAGAGCAGATTTGATGTGGACATAAGCCAGGTGTTTCCTCAGGATGTGCTGGTAGCTATCAACTTGGTAGGACATGAGGCTCAAGATGGAGGGGCTAGAGATGTAGCCGGGTGTGGGGTGGGACTTCCCTTCTGCTCATTGGCCATCACTGCCCTCCAAGTTGCTGGAGTAGAAGCCCTGAGGGTTGGGCTTGATCTGGCTCTGTTCCCTTTAAGTGTCTGCTTTCCCCTTTCCTAGCACTGGGACCTTTGCCCCAGAGCTGGGGATTGCTGAGGCAAGGGAGGCCCGTGTGGAGTCTCGGCTCATTTTTGCCACAGACACATGTCTGAGCTGTCTCCGATGTGCTGCCAGTACAGGTGCCAGCAGTTATTTCCCTCGATCTGCTTAGATGCAGCCTCGGGTCCAAGTCTCCTTTGTCCCTCACTGCTAATCACTTCCCCCAGTCTCTGCCACCCTTGGGCTTTTGTGGAGCTGCACTGCAGGGCAGGTGGGGCCGGTGTGGACTCTCTTTGTGTATTGGGGTAAGCTGTGGTGGAGTGGCCATCACCAGAGTTCTGGGCTGCTTCTGATATGACGTTTGAGTAAGCGCCAGCAGTGGCTGCTGCCCCCTCACCCAGGCTCTGCCCTGGGACTGGGTCATCTCTGCATCCCACGGCCAAGTTTTTTTCCCTGGTTGTGGCAGCCCTAGATTCCATACCACACTGCGACGTGGAGTAAGCTTTGTTGGAGCATGCACCGAGGCAGTTGTGGGAAACTTGGAAGCCACTGGAGCAGTCCTCTTACCACCTTCTCTGCCCTGCCCCAGGGGCAAGCCAGTGCACAAGCATGTTCCTCAGGAGCGGAGTCCAGGCTTCCCCCAGCCCTCCTATTAGTTGCAGTGGTCCTTCAAGCAGCCAAGGGGGCTTGTCTTCCCTGTGTAGGATGCCAGGACTGGGGCTTCCATTTGTGGTTCTCACTGCTCCCTCCCCAAGGCGGGTGTCTGTTCATGTGTTCTCCCTTTTCCTCTGAGTCCCCTCCCAGGGGCATAGGTCCTGACCTGATTGCTTTTCTTCCCTTCCTGCCCAATTCCATATGTATCTTTCTTATAGCCTTGGTTGTACAGGTTTCTGCCAGTTTCCAGTTAGTTTTCAATGAGAATTGTTCCACATGTAGATGTATTTTTGATGTGTTCATGGGGGGAGGTGACCTCCATGTCTTCCTATTCTACCGTCTTGATTGATCTCCTTTATAACAATAGTTTTGACCATGTAAAATCACAATGGCTAATAAGAATGAATAACAAATTTGTAAAAAACCTCAAGCTCTCATTTTGAAAATAAATGACTATTCTTTTGGCAGCAATGAGTAGTTGGAGGCTAAATGTCTTATGTTTTCACATTATCACATTATTTCACACTTGCAGTGTGCCACCAGTTCTTTAGCTGTCTAGTAAAATGTAAAATATATTTGTGTGTCCTAGTGTTTAATGTCACGGCATTACAGTGATAGCAGTAGCTAATAAATAATGGGATATAATCAAATGAACCTGTTTGGAAGGAGGTACAGAGGGGATTAGAATTTGTATCAGGCAATATTGATTTGTGATTATGTAGCGGAAAAAAAAAGCTGTTACCATTTTTGACATCTGTATTGCAACAGACATATGACACAGGTATTTCGTACTATTTGTTATTCTAGAAAGTAAAAAAGTATCAGAGACAGATCTATTCCTTTCTCTATTAGCATACAAAATCTAATATTTATCTTTGGAGGCATGGAACTTGAAAAATTTGTATAACTATTTTCCCACTGTTCAACCCCACTCCATTATAGCCACAGGCCTCTTCCGTACGTCATCTTATCTTCCAACATAGGAGATAATGTGGAGCATTATGTAACATTTCTCATCATGTCAGTTGTAGCACAACTGAACATAAGCCCAAGCCAGCCAAGATAGGGGATTACATCTCAGTTATTTTCTGGAACTGAGTTTTGGAGGGACTGCTAAACCAGTATGAGACAGTGGATACTGAATACTAATTGAACTCAGATTCCTGGAAAATTGAGGCTAATGGCTCAATGTACTCAGTGAAAGGGAGAAATACACATAGGCACATTTTGGGGTGCTGGGGCATTTCACAAGCAGAACATTTATCATTACTTGCTTAAGCAATATTTACAAATACAGAGGGCCGCTCTTACATAAAAATAGATTATGTAGCCATTATGATTTCTTATTCAGCGTGCTACAGAATGTCCTTCTGTCCCCAATATCCACTCCACACTTCTCTGTCAACCTGCCACAGTAGCCAGAATTTTCACCATCTTCAGTGAGTCCACTGTTCTCTAGGTAACTGTGTCACTCAAAATAGTAGTGTTATTAGCCATGAAGGTAAATTAAGGCATAGCAAACATCCATGTGTCTGATTTGATGCACCCTCATACTGCACCTTTATTTCTTATGTACACTCATCGCATGTGGCTTTTCTGGGTAAATTTGCAGGAGCTTAAGTCACTCTTTTATTACTGTAAATGACTTCACTGAGCATGTGAATCACAATAGCCTCCCTAGTAACTGCTTGACAATACAACGTAAGTTGCATCAGTCTTACTCCAGTTCCTGCAAGCTTCATGCCTCATAAACAACACGAGGTCAAAAGTACTCGAGGGCTTCTTAGAATTCCTGAGACATGTTTCTGCCTCCACTCATTCCTCTTCTCTCTCAACCCTGAATCTCCTTTCCCCTAATTGATCTGATTATGAAGATCCCCCATGTCCTCAGAGCTCTAACTCTCAAACTCAGCTTTCCATTCTCTTCTTACTGCATTTGCATCTCCAACAGTGCCGCAGGGTAGCAAGCATTTCTGTCTTCACAGAATTCTCCCACCCGTAAGACCTTTGACAAACCTCTCAGGTCACTTGTTGTCAAGTGAGGAGATTTCTTACCTTTGGCAGAGATGCCCTGGAGCCCGAACTCTGGGTGGTCATCGTTAAGACTGTCGTGATGCCCAGTGCAACTCTGGCAGGGGCTGCATCCATGTTTATCCAAAAAGAGACCCAGGACAAAATGACTATCAACAGACTGGGGATATACATCTGGATCAAGTAATATCCCATCTGGCGTTCCAGGTGAAACTTAACCTCGATGCAGGTAAACTTTCCTGGAAACAGAAAGTGATGGTTTAAAATCCAATTTGAATTTATCTTTCCCATTCCAGCCTCCCACTTTATTTTTATTAAAAAGGAGCATTAAAGATGGATTTGAAAGATTGCACAAAACGCTGACATTACACATCTAATTCAACTCTTTTCTAACTCAACCCGTAATGGAAATGACAGTGTGAGAACGAGTGATCTAAAGAGTCACTGGACCAAAACCATGTGGCATATTTAATTTTCAAATCTGTGCTTGTTGAAGCCTGATTATTTAGACAGAGCTTCAGAATTTTCTAGACTATCCATTGGAAAGAAAATATTCATGTTTTGTGGGGGTTATAGTATGTAATATATAGGATATAAGATATAACCTACAACATATATGTATAGCATATAATACACAGCATATAATATATAACATATAATATGAAATAGTTGAAACCATTCCTTCCTAAGTACTAAAGTTCACATGGGGCTCCTAAAGGATTTGGATAATTGTGTATCTATCTTTGTGTTACCAATAGCAAAAGAAAAATATACATTTGTAGAAACCATGAATATAATCTAGTCACTGTAAAAATTTCATAACCTCCTGGGTAATTGCTTGAGGACATTTTAGAATATTCCTAGAATCTGTTTACAGTGTTGCATTGCCTATAAAATTGAGTGCATATAAAGATATTAAAACTTGTAACATACTATTAAGAGACAGATGTTCCTGCCCCTTACCACTTTCCTTCCTCTTTAATTGGCTTGGAGTTAGAAACACAGAAGGTAATTCGGCTTAGCTCACACAAATTATGAGGTAGGGTTGGGCTCTTCTTGGCCAGGAAGAGCAGCTTAGAGTCAGGTTTTAGTTATTTCATAGGAAGCACTGTTGACTTCTGGATCAAGTGTTCATGGACCAGAGCAGTCACTGAACAAACCATCATGTCTCGACTGCCTCTCCTTGATCAGCTGTGTGGCATCAAAGACGAGGACGTTCATAGGGAAAGCTATCAACTTTACTCGGTGGGCATAATCTTCCAGGGAACAGCAGATGCCCACTTGTTGCTACTACCTCACATTCTCCCCCTGCCCCATGTGTCTGTCAGCACCACAGACAATGCATGACTTTAGAGCCAGCTGACTCCCCGCAAGCTGATTTTCATGCACGCTGTCTATAGGACTGGAGAGTACAACAGCTGCATTTCTGGGTTTGCAAAGACCTATGTTATTATTTCTGTCTTCCACTGAGGCAGAGAGTGCAAATTGACCTGAGGAGCTAACGTCAAGAATGGATGCTGGGAATGGGCCGGAATTCATCCACTTCCTGCACCATTTACAAGGTCTCATACCCTTTTCTTCAGACTCATTTGATAGTAGATGGTCAGCAAGAGAACAGCAAAAGATCCCCAAATCTCTTTCCTTCTCTCTCTCTTCTGGAAAAATTATCTGTTGCGCTCCCTGACCTGTTCGAAAGGATGTAGGCATCTTATGTGTTGAGCGGATTTTGACCCAAGCCCAGGACAGTGCCTAATAGCTCCACTTTCTTGGTAAATATGCGGCAATTAAGGTGATGGGATATATACTCCAAGCGGCAGATGGAGCCCACTTGGGTTTAGCAGCTCAAAGGAAACTTACCAGTGTTGTAGTGCTTTGTGCAGTAGCCGAGCTCTTTCTCTTCTTTCAAAATGAACTGAGGCAGTGTTAATCCTTCAGCAACTTGAACTGGACCATCACTTAACCACTCAAATATCAGGTCATTCATCGTGTACCCAACTGGAGTAAACAGATCATAGTAAAAAAGTGAATGCATCTTTCCAAGAAAGCTTGAAAGTCTAGCCACGTAAAGAAACAAACAAGGAAATCATCTAAAGCGACATATGCTCTATCAATTCAAGAGCATTTTTTAATAAAAGAGCTGCAATCATCATGACAACTACATGTCATTGGAGCCAAAGAAATGGAAGACAGCAAGCTATTTCTGAATGATTTTTTTTTCTGTGTAATGGGAGAATGGGACTTATGAAGTCCATTTTTCTTCTGCCCACTCTATCCAGTAAATGTTTCTGAAGAACAAACAAGTAAACAAACAAAAATCCTTTGAAGATTGTCTTTACTTTAAAGAGCTGTGTCTGTGGATATCCATTAAGACAATGCAGTTCATGGCACCAGTCTTAGTATTTCAAATGAAAAGCATTCCTTTTTTAAAAAAAAAAAAAGAGAATGGATTTATCACAGGCCTGCTTAAAATATTTCCATTGCAAACTTGGCCCCTCTCCTAGGGTCTATTAGCTTTGTTTTGAGAAAGTTTATGTTCAAGTCGTTATGGTCAATCCTCAGTTACTTTAGCAAGCGGGGAAGGCTATAGGCAGGTAACCTAAGAGGAAGCTGTGGGATATGCAAATCAAGCATATTCATTTGTGCTAGTGTCTTGCTAAAGGGGCCCACACATCACACTGATTAATATGAAGTAAAACAGATTCTCTGTTATATAAAGTCATATTGTTATATGACTTTTGAACCATCCAGAGTAAGACTGTTATCAGTTTAGTAAACCAAAGTTAGCACTTAGTCTCCAAGCTCCTGCTAACTAGGTCATTATGTCAAGGGCTTCTGGGTTTTTTACACCCCGGAAATGAAGGCTACTCTTTTTTCAGGCATCAGTTCTCCCCCTTCTTTTTTTATTTGTGATATTGGAACTCTAAAAGGAGATCGAGGAGGACAAGGGTTATTATGTGAGGTTTTGGCTGGCCAGTAACCTCAGCAAGTTTATTAAGTTTATAGATTCTTATTCTTGTTTACTGCAAGGTAGTGACTCACCAAAGCTACCCAGAAATCAATGGCAAAGTTAATTGGAATCTACTTTCCTCTTTCTTTGGGCCACCTTTTCCATTCAAAGCCAGAAAATAAAAACAAGCAAGGAATCACAAAGGGGACTTCGTATAAGCATTGATGGTCCACAGAGAGAATGGCCAACCCTATCTCTTCCACATCAGTGCTGCATGAGCCCTTCTTGAGTATCTCCACCAAATACTAGAGGCTTGCCAAACACCCCCTATTCTTGTCTGGTCAGCTTCTTGCTGACCACTACAATAATAGTCCTGGTCAGCCACCGGGAAACCCCACCTGGGGGCAAACAGAAGAGGTAAAGATGTAGGGAAGGAGGACGTGATATGAGGGTAGAAAAGTAAAGAGCAATTCCCACCCTTCACAGTCAGTCATTGGTAAGCACATCACTGCTTCTTTCATTTCATTACTTCTAGGTCCTGCAAGGGCCAAGCATATTTACTAATTGGAGTTTTTAAGCCTTGGAGGAGCCTCAGATGACAGCTATGATTGCTGTTTTATAGAGAAACTAAGTGTTGGGTTGAGTCAGGGGAGAGGTGGGAGCAGTAGAGGAGTCACAAAGAAGGAATCATTATGTAGGAAAAAGTTTTTCTTAACTGTCTTCTCAAGAGAAGGGGCGATAGGGAAAAGATGAATACATAAAGCCTATTGTAAACCAGAAATTCTCATTTTATTCCTGACAACTTGTTCGAACAAAGATGCTTCATTATTTTGTTTATTTCTGTAGGAAGTTTCAGGGGAAATCTACAGTGATTTTAAATGATCAGAAGGAAACCCTGTCACCGCCTCTTTTTTAATAATAGTTGATATGTCTTTTTACATTTGTTATTTTTCTAAACCAAGAAGTTAAAAGTATTTTCTTGCCCCTGCCTCATTAAATCTCCTAACCTCCCTGTAGGTCAGTAGCACTTATTATTCTCTGCATTTTACAAACAGAGAAACTGACAGAGCAAGCCAGAAAACATTTCATGTCTCCTGTCTAAAAATCCCATTACCTTGGAGGCATCAGCAACTTATGGCCCATGTCAAAGATTTCAGTGGCGTCAGGGCCATGGCATAAAGGGGACAAAGTAGTAGCATTTTTCTCTTCCCTTCACCAGGCCTTTGGATATCCATTGCCCATCTAAGGGAGATGCCTTTATTCCTTATCATCTCATGCCCCTCATTTTTGTTTCCTCCTCTGGCTAAGGCCCCTGCATCTTGTCCTCAAATCAATTAGCCCTTCCTGCCAAAATTCCTTTGGGGTGAAGGTCTATACAAGCGTGAGATAGAAGGAGATACAATTTTCTGACTAGAATGTGATTCATCATAGAGGTTAAATGACTAATAATCTTAATTTTCCCAGGAGACATTTTCATTTCAAAGAAAAGCTTACTAAATCAGGCTCATTTTTTGAGGAAGGGCAAGTTATTTGGCATTTTACCTTGAAAAATGGTCTTCTCTCTATTGGATATAAGACATGCACACACATTCACTTTTGATTGTCCTTCCCTTAAGGACCTCGGGAGTTGTTAAGTAGGTAGAGAATGAGTCTTACAGGTTTTTTCTCCTTAATGCCACATTGAAAGAACCAGGTCATTGGTTAAAACAAGCAGGTGGTCATTTCAGTAGTAGTGACTTACAACTCTCCAGCTGCATTGTACACGTCTGGACATCCATTGGAAAATTCTTCAAGTCCATGGGACAGGATAAGGTCAAGGTGAGCCTTAGCAGAGAAAAAAAATTTTTTAAACAAGTTTTTAATTTTTGAGGTCTGGTTCTTGAGAAGCAAACCAAAAACACATTTTGCATTAAGCAGAGTGACACTGATTCAAGGAATGAAGTCTCAGCTCTCACTCAGGATAATGCTTTCTAATTTTCAAATGAACAGTAGTCATTGGTAAATTTTTAAAATACTATACAATTTTGCTGTAACCCCTTACTCTCCATTTCCCATCTTCCAGCCTCATCTCCCCAGTGGTACTGGTCTCAAGTTTATTCTAGAATCAAGAAGAGCACTGAGAAATAGTGTAACAAGAACCGTGGGCTCTTCTTACACACACTGATGTCCAAAAGGCGTAAAGTTTCTACTGCTTTAGAATTGGACAGGTGGGCTTTGCTTCAAGGACAATAAATGATGTGATAAGCATAATTGATTGTGATAAGTATTCGTTCTCCTTCCATCAGGTAGGCAAAAACTTCCATATCTTTTCATTTGCTAACTACATGGATAGGTCAGTTGTACATTGTAGCATTCATTCTAGAATTTTGACAAATCTGGAGTGGGTAATCCTTGATCTAAAAAAAACAAAACCATTTGAGGATGGTGGCTTGTATAAATACATAGCCTTCTCCTCTCTGCACCCTGGGGGGACTACTGTGCTCCCCCTTTCCTTAACTTTTCAAGCTCCAGCCAGCTCTGATCAAGTCTTTCATCAGGATATTGATTAAGCCACCACCTCTTTTCTACTATTTCCTTTTTTAGTCCTCAAGGAAATGGTACACACCTCTTGCTCTTCAGTTTTTCTATGCCTCAGAGATTCAAGGGAGGAAATTAAGGTTGAGAATCAGCAGACCTGTGTTCCCTTTCAAGTACTGCCTCCAACTGTCTCTGTCCCCAAAGCAAGACCTTAAACTCAATAAACACGCATCCTCACCAAATGATGGGGTAGGATCAAATGATGCTTATTGCCATTTAGCTCTAATACTAGAATCCATGTTATTCTGAAGTTCACTGCTCCAACTTCTGTTCATTTTCTCTCAAACATCTTTTCTATCCATAGACCCCTCTGACTTTTACACCATTACCTAAACTCTCCCTTTCTGTCATGCTCTCCCCTCCTGGTTCCCTTCTCTTTCCTTTCTCAACTTCATGTTATACCTTCTATACAAGCCAAGACAAAATTTAAAAAAGAGTGGCCCAGTTATTTTAAAGAAAGAAAAGATTTGGGATTTGAAGTGAGGTTAGGCAAAGAATCCATGCTGACAGTCGTCAAAATCATCAAAATACAACAGTGACTGGGACAAGCAAGATACAAAACAGTGCAGTATAATCTCAATTATGTAAATATGTTTTCAATATTGGAAGTAAACATAACACTATATTAAGAGTAGATATTTCTGGTTGGTGGGATGATTCATATTTTTTTTTTACTCTGTTCATTCTGCATTATCTATATTGACAAGTGTAGGCTATTCTAAGATGTCCGTCTTTATGTAATTAAACATGCCTTTCTTTAAACAATAGCTGAAGGGTAAAGTTATTAAATTATGTTTTATTCAATAATGTTTTGCTATATTATAATTATATTATTATTATTAAAATTTTGCCACAAACATACAGTATTTCACCTTCATTGCTAAATAAATTACCTACCTTCTCTGAGCTATTCTGAGAACACAAATACCATGTTTCTAAAGGAAAAACAATAGTTTGGGGTTCTAAACATCTGAGTTAAAATAACATTTTAGACAGGAAAAATAATTTTTGTCAGTTGTGGAGTTCATTTAGAGATAGCAGTATAAATATAGTTAAAGATATTTACATTTCTTCCCAGCATAAAGACTTTTTTTTGAGATTTTATTTTATTGAGGTCAATGCCATGAACTCTTTAAAGTAAGGGAAGAGTAAAAGAATCAAAATGAAAATCTCTAGTAATCCAAAAATTAAAAAAATTTGACACTTTATTAAGCGAGGGGAATCTCAGAAGGATCTGTGGGTTTAAAACTGTTACTAACACAGTAAGAATCTATTTATTCTTTTCTATTTTTTTAAAGAGGAAATATTTACATCAAACAAAAATATGTCCATCATATAAAAATAATCAGAGGGCATGTGTATAGTTTAAGTGAATCAAAACTAGAAAACCTGGAAATTTCATTATGATTTTGAAAAGTTTACTTTTGAGAAATTAGAAAATAATAATAGCAAAAATGAATACAGCTTAAAAACATGCAACAGGAAATTCAGTTGTACTTTGTTTGCTATTGGAAACAACTCAATTTTAATATTCTTAATCATAGGTTTGCTGAATACAATTCTTCTGTGAAGTGAACTTTTCACATTTATTTAGGGGGAAGAGGCTTCAGACATGATATTTCTGCCTTTGTGGCAGATCTAACAATCCTATAGGGACCCAGAATTCTTGGGGTCAAAACTATTAACAGCCATGGAAAACCCCACTGAGAGAAATTCCCAATGAGCATGAAACTCTCTGAATTTTGTCTCAGCTGAGAACTCAGTGGGTATTTCCTTTCTTCCTTATTTATTTTTCTAATTTCCATTCTAGGTAGGTTTTGTATGGGAACTCAATGGGTGCCAATAACAAGGAGGCAAGTTAACAGCTCCCCACTTTGCTAAATCACGTCATCCGCTGAGCAAATGGGAAGCGATTGGAAAGATCTAATCAGTTCTTTCATGGCCAACAGAGCCCATAATTTATGATGTCTAGTGTACCACACATCTGCAGGCCTAAAACTCAGACTTGCCTTTTACTTATTTTCTTCCTTTTCATTGAAGCATATATTAAACACAGTAAAAATACACAAATCTTAAGTTACAGCGTGATACCTTTTTGCATCTATACCCACCTGTTTAACAAGCACCCAGACCAGACTTAGAATATTCCTGTCACCCCAGAACATTCCCATGTGCTCTCTTCTCAGTCAAGAAGCTTCAAAAGTAACCACCACTGCTTTTTTTAAAAGCTATCTTTTAATTTAAAAACATGAGTTTTGGGGAAAGAACGAGACAATATTATTTTGTACAGAGATGCAGAAATCGCACCAAATAAGACTGACACATCCAACATATACTAAAATGTGAACTATTTTTATCCCCTTTACTCTGGCTCTCACATCTTTTTTTGGGGGGGGGGGTCTCACAGAATTAAGTATTTATATTGAAAGTCAGATTTTTTGCTAGCAGACACTGCCTACATCATGTCAGATTTTCTCTCCTCTTCCTCACCATCTGAAATATTAAGGCCATTGCATGTGAAGGCAGTGAGCTGAGGCCACCCATCTTCCATTTGACTTTTCTTAAAGAACTCATTCCCTGAAGCATTGTCGCACATCCCCCACTGTCACTGTGGCGACATGCATGCATTCAGGGCGCCCCTGCTCCTGTTTGCACAAGGGAAGGAATAAAGTTCCCTTATAGAGGCCCTACTTCTTTATAGAGAGTAAGAAGGCTGAGTGAACATTTTGATTTTAAAGGCAAAAGGATAAGACAAAGCACAGGAAGTCAGCTTCCCCCCAAATCTCCCTCGCCTTCCTTACTACTCTCCTATTCAGTTCACCTTGCCATCAAACCAGCTCTTGGGTTTATACCTAATTTAAAGTTTAAAAGACTGATAGATGCAGACATTGTAAGCTGAGTTAATGTTATAATTTTTAAAATCAAATATATTTTTAAATTTACTTATTTCTCTCCTATGCAAGGTTCTTCCCTCATGCAAGAACCACAAAGGCTACAACTCTCTCTTTTTCACCATCTAAAATAATGCCTTCAACAGATTAGGTATTCAATAAATATTTGTTGAGCAAATGAATGAGTCTTCGTCCTCAAGCTCTGTGGGAGAACTTAAGGCTTTTATTCAGCAGAAATGGGAAAGGGCAGAGGATTTAGAAGGAAAGAACGGTCATCTGAGCCCACGGGGTGTTGCCGAATTCCCAGACTGGCAAAAGAAGCCAGAAAGCTGGCCTGGCCCTTTCCGTAAGTTCCTAGCATTTCTAGTGGGAACTAGAAATAAGGCAAATCAAGCTGAAAGAAAGCCCGGAAGCCCTGTCCACCTGTCCTTGAGCCTTGCTCAGGTAGCTGGGTCCACGGCCAGGACTGTTCTCCTATTGCTAGAAGCATGCGAACTAATCACTTAACTTTATAACGTCATGGCGGACAGGAGGTTCCTTGACTCACAAAGCAACTACTCGTTCATAAGGCACTCAGTATTAGAAGTGGAAGTCCATTCCCAGCAAAAGATTCTTGAGGGAAAAAAAGCCACTTGAAGAGAAAACGAATTTTCAGGTGGAATTACAAATTGTCATTAGGGATCTTCCT